TTTGGAAAATTTGAGAAGTCTGTCAATACCGATATTTCAGTCATTTTAAACATTTTTTTTGGCTGATTTGTTTACTGAACATTATTTACAATCCTTAAAAGAAGCCCTTCAAAGGATTTTATAATCAAACAATAGATGACGAATTTATAGACAAAACAAGGTCGTTTTTTTTCCTTTGGTTTTCCGCAAATAAGTCACGTTCTGAATATCCTAAAAGATTCTAGTTTAAACTTTAAAGCAGTGTGTTTAGAAAACAAAGAAGGATCGGCTATTCAGAACGATCGCATTTCTCGATGAAAGTGTAATAGATGCTTTTTATTCGGAAAATTCTACACTAGCTACCTTAAAGCTAAATGGAAGATGAACAATGGGGCGCATGTACCAGTGACCACTCTTATGAGTACAGCTCCGAAAAAGCTACTCATTCAAAACATCAGTTGCAACTGTTTAAAGTCAGGTTGTGGCAATACTTGTTCATGCAGAAAAGCAGGAATACATAGTGGATCAACCTGCCTCAAATGTCAGAACAATTGCACCAATGTGCCAGCTGAGGACTCATAAGACTCTTATCTAGCATATATGGTTACATGATAAAGTACTGCTTCGATTTCCCGATTAATTTAATAAAAAGTTGTTAATTATTCGTGTCATGTAATTCTAAAATATTTTGATCTAAAATAATTTTTATAATTTTTGAATATTTGTCAAATAATTGATTAACTAATTAATTAATTATCTAATCCAATGGTTGTCGAATAAAAAGTTATTCTCTTTCATGTTTTGAACACATTGGTTCAATCTAGATTTTTCTACGACATTCAGAAGTCGTTTTATTAGCGGAGATTCAATGTGGTAAAAAGTGGTAAATAGTGGTTATTCTTTACAAATTTCGAAAAGTCCAAAATATTGCAAGTGAAAATTTTCAAAAGCTTTATAAAAATTAGTTCATTATACGTGTAATGTAATTGTGAACATTTTTTATCAAAATATATTTTTGAAACATTTGAAAATATATTAATTATTTGATTAATTAATTAAATAATTTATTTTTGAAAAAGTTGATACATAAAAAGTTTTTCTTTTTTGTTTTCTGAACACACTGCTTTAAACTAGAATCTTCTAGGATATTCAAAACGTGACTTATTTGCGGAAAACCAAAGTGGTGAAAAGGTGGTAATTGTGGATTTTGCTCTAGTCAGAAATTTTGGGAATTCTCTGGAATGATTCCTGGGACCTGTCCTGACCATTTCCCGTTAAAATCGCTTAGTTGCGAATTTTGTCCGACAAAGGCTTAAACTAGGACGTATTTGACTGTACGCGTACTCTCAAAAAAATTTTGTACCGTCAAGGAAGATGAAATGTGAGTGGAAAGAGCGATGGGTAAACACCATTAGCGCGGAGTCCAATGCAGTTAGTGTTACATACAATTCTTGAGAAAAGCACGCCCCCGTTATTTGGTCCCTAATAATTGAGGGTTCTAAAGGGAATTGAGTTTGAGACAATCACCGTGGTCAACATCCACTGCGAAGCCTTAATTTACCATTATGTTTAATAGTATTTGACTCCCAAATTAAAGTTATAAAAATAAATCTAGAACCCTTATAATGCTGTTATAGTTATTTGAGGTATTAAACCCAATATTTAAACTTTGATCTGTCTATGAAAAATATAAACAAGTGGAAGAACCGTTATGCGTTCTAACTCTAAATTGTAACATTCTTTGAGTCTGGCGAGTGGCGAATATCAATTAATACTTTGAGTCCGGTAAATAAATACTTAAAGTCTGGCTATAAAAGCACAAAGTCTGGTAAATTAATACTTCAATGGTGTTTGGCCGTATTTCCAACCGGTCCTTGTAAAATGAGCAAACAATTCCAAAGGTGAATGACCGGAAAATATGCGTAATTGCGAAAAAAATTTAAATTCTTTTCAACCGTATTCTCTTTGAGCATGAATGCATTAATTTATTAATAATCATTATCAAACCAAAATTAATAAAAATCTCGTTTTGCCAAAATATATAAAATTGCGAGGAGAAAAATAAAACGTAAACATTGGTAAAACTAAAAGTTTAGTCTTGACACTCAAAACTTACGAATTTCAAAACAAAATTTGTGAGATTCTTTACCTTTCATTTCAATTTCTTTAAAGAAGAGAATGTCGAATGTAACCGTCATCTGAGGTTGAAATTATGCTTAGAATTGAGCAGAAATCCTGTACATACCTTAATTTAAATTCAGAATTGAACAAATTTCATCTCACAACAGAGAAGACCACGAGCCTGAAAATAAAGTTAAATATAATAACCTCCTGATCAAGGTAGTAATACCGCACATATTTGCACAAAATCTCAATCATGATAAGCCAGTAAGGTAGATAACAAAGCAAAAAGGCGGTCATCACTGTTAGGGTTGCATAGGTTGCTTGGGTTAACCATTTTGACCTTCTCATGACGTCAGTTTTTTTCCTGACGACTCTGATGGATGAACCGTCCCCAGTTATAGTGGTCTCCCTGTTTTAAAATTTTTTTTAATTTGAAAATTCAATTAATAATTTAATTAGTTATTATCAAAAATGACGGTATAGAATTAGATGTAATAATATTATAGTTATAGTATAACTTATACTATAAGATTATTATATCGAGGCTTAAAATCATTCAATGTTACTTTAGTCATATTTGTTGAATCATTGCAAGAGTTCCACGCACAGTCCCTTTTACATGATATTGATACATAGAATTACTTACCCTTGCACGCTTGCAGAGGTTAAAGTCAACACTTCGCATGACTTAGTGTTAATTTTATCTTTGTTTCCCAACGGTTGGGCAGACTTTAAATGTTTCTTTAAAACCCTGTTCCAGCCCTGGATGATACAGTTTTCCTCGTAATACGACAGAATTTTTATTGTTTGGTCTTTCAGCTATATTATAACAGTTAGCGAAACTTACTTTTAGTACTTTGATACTATTTAATCTGCAAATAATTTTCATTTCTACTGAAAAATCAATTGGTACCTTCTTAGAATGATCTCGTTTATGTCTAAGTTTAATCATCTCCACTACTATAGCAAAGTATAGCGCCAGAATCAGAGCACCGGGTATCATCAGAGGTATAATTACCATAAACACGTGGCCCCAGACAATTAACTTTCCGTCCGGTAGTAGCTGAGATGATAGGAAAGTATAGTGATTAAAAACAAAAAGTAAAAAAAGTAAAAACTTTTTTGTTTGGAGGTTTCCAAAAGATTTAGAACATTACATTTTGTCAAGACTTTCTCATTTATTTCAATCAAATTATAGAAGCTGTATTGCACAAAATTATGACATAATGTTAAAATTGCTAAATTCGTAAACAGTTCATTTTAACAGTTTTAAATTATAAAACCTTTTAAATTAAAATGAACTTTTAGTCCTGTAATACTTTTTACTCTATTTTATGAACGATAGCGAACCTCGGTAAACGGTATTTAGTTTAATAATTGTACAAGGACTGGATTCAATTTCAACGTACGCGTAATGCAAATGTAGTGAATGCCACCTGCTCTAAGCTTCTAAGTCTATATAGTAGTTAAAACAGATCTCGTAATTTATAGTAGTTAAAACAGATCTCGTAATTTATCTCAAAATGTGTGCCTTTTTCAGCGTAAGATTACATTTCTTAATTCTTAACCAAAATAAAATGTTTAAGTCATTGGATTCACTCATTTTTATCCTATATCCCAGTAATGAAATTATAGCAATGGTATCTCTAAATTCTAATAATGAACGATCCTAATTTTATACAAAATCCTTGATTCATTGAAATGTTCATTAAAGCAGATATTGGTGTGATTGAACGGTGAACCTTCAAAAAAATAACCGATCAGTTTTGAATTGCATATATTTTTTATATCCAACCATTTTGTCAAGAAATTATGTAAATCAGATGTTTTTTAATGTGTCAAATCCTCTATTTCTTATAAAAACTTATATATATATATATGAATATCTCAGAAAATTGAATTTAAGAATATATGCGGAATCCGAAAAATATGCAAATTAGGAATGTTTTTCACTGCACTGAAAATCACAAATTAATAAACGAATATTTAATAATTAATAAACTTATATTTAATAAACTAAAATATATTTGACGCCGCGCTTCATACCTCGTGGATGGACCAGGTACAAAGTCCAATGTACTGACTGTAAACATATCTGGCTCCTTTAAAGAATGGCACAATGGAAACAAGTATCGGTAGGATCCACATGACTATCATGTATCGGGATACTAATGTTCCTTGGACCAGTCTCTTGAAGTGCATTGGTCGGGTTATTGCCAGCAGCCGGATCAAACTCAGCCCTGAGACAAAATGGTTGATATATAAGAACTTTCATGAATAAGAATTTACAGAATTCACAACAGTTAGTTTTTCAGGACAAACGTAATTCGAATTGCCAAACACAATTCAATAAAATTTGGCTCGATCCGACTATCCAAACTATCAAATAAATGCGAAAATGAACCTTAATTTTTTTTTAAATGGCAACGAATATTTTTCGAGTTGACAAATTCCTCGAACCAGTGGTGGTAGTAAGTCTTACCAGAAAGAATTATTTCAATTGGGCACTCAGTGACTGAGCTATTAAGGCCAACATATGGGTACTGACTTTTGGCCCACCCTGTATATAATGAGCATACTCATAGTGCCAATGGTGAATGGTGACAACTGTTGGGTTATTTATAGGTATTTTAAAATGAAGAACTGTTTTGAAATTAGCGATTAAACTTTTTTTCGGAATCATCAGCAGAGCAAAATATTAATTATTTTAGCCCCTTGACAAGCTTATTAACATATTATGCTTTGTTAATAAAATTTCTACGTTATATAACTCGCAAGGTAAATGCTATTTTTAATTAACATTAATATGTATATTAAATAGATACCTGCGATAGAGAGAACAACATGTCTGAGAGTGACGTTAAACACGAATCCAGTGACATTGCATGCAATTTCAGATAACCATCCTGACCCCATGTCTCTTTTGTTAGCTACGCTCACCAACGAGGCAATCATTGGGAATATTGTGTAGAGAAAATCGCTGACAGAGGTGCTGAAAGTGTAATATTAGTCTGACGAATAAATGTGGTTTTTTTTCCCAATCTTATTAAAAAATCATCGGATATTGTGTTTTGCATGTTTTAAAGTTTAAAATGTTTGAATAATTAGAAAGCTAGGACATGGGCAATGTGCTAAGCAACGAAAGCTGTTGGGGATCCAGCTTACGATTGGCTGTCTAAGTAGCTTTCTAATTTCTAAGAGGAATTTGTTAGATTCCCCTTGAGAAGGAGTTTCAGGAGATTACACGGCTGGTTGTATACTTCATACAGTGTGTAGCACGTTATTTTGTGTGTCCCAAATCCCAATTACCGTAAAAGAGGGCGTACTAGCTACCCTCAAATTAGTTGAAAACGCAATGAAAATAAAGTTGTCTGATATACTTGTCTGATATAAAAGTAAATATTCTGCATGTCTTAACTAATGGACAGACTTACTTGAATACGATTCTGAGAGACGGGTTCATGAAATGAGTCGGCTTCCACTCGCTCCAAATGTTTCTCAAAGTGTAAATATTTAAACACATTGATAGGATAATCAAAACAGCCAGTACCGCACTCATACACACGTCACCTCGCCTCGTGAAAATGTCCGCCACGTTCATTTTTCTTTTGATAGGTATTACATTTAAGTATTTATATCTGCGAGTGAGAGAAGAAACAATTCTCGTCTACAGAGCTGATTAATGGCTTTAAAAGAACCGGAAAGACCGTATATTAGACTTACCAAATCAATTTTTAAACGATGGCGGGTCTGAGCCATTTAATAATAATAATAATAACAAAGTATTTATATCCCGCTCATATTAGCAACTAGTAACCAAGAATGGTACTAGCTACTAATGTCAGAGCGGCTCTCATAACAAAGAGAAAACTATAATAATTTAGAATTCTCCAACAAAAAATTCTCATTTTCCTTTAAGCTGCTTTATTGGTAACACTAACGTTTAAAAACTATATACGACAGACATGGTGGTACAATCAGACATCAGATGGAATAAACTATAAGAGAAAAATAATAATCTCGACACATATTGGTTACCTTTATTTATTCAAAAGAATTTAATTAATTAAACTTCATTATACACTCTTCTTTATTTGTAGATCAAAACAACAAACACAAACTGTGGCCTGCATCCCCGTCAATACCACACAATCATTTAAAGAGTTGCTCGAAGGTAGTAGACCAGGCCGACGGATCCCCAGTCCGATTTCCCTGAGTATTGTCGCACCCAATTAAGGGAACTCGCACACTACATCACCCTGTACCCAACAGCTTGCAAGCAAGCTGCCGTTCACCCACCGGTTCACTGAGGTACAGGTAGATTGCCGAAGCATGTGCTACCAACTCTGCAATCATGTGGTACCGGCCAAGGATACAGGTTATAAAAATAAAAACAAGCCAGGGCATGGCAAATGGCAGTCTAGTCTCTCCGTGTAAGTGTAACTATACACAACTCATGGCAGTTAAAAAAAACCCATGGAATAATCTACAAACTAAGGCCAGGTTCTAGGAACTTTCTAAAAAAGAAAAAAGAACACGAATATAAATACGACTAGGTATGTTCTAAATGATTGAAAAAATGGGTTTTTAAAGCCCGTTTAAAAGTATCAATGTTGTTAGCTTTTCTTACCGTATACGGTAGCAAGTTCCAGAGTTTTGGGGCTGCGTTGCTAAACCTCCTATCACCTAGCCTGATTTTACTGAGTCTATTAACCTTAAACCTTAAGTCATCACCAGACAGTTGCCGTGTTTTAGAATATGCTGCCTGGGAGTCAATCTGAAGAAGATCAGACAGATATGGTGGTGCTTGGCTGTACATAACCTTATACGCCAGAAGACAAATCTTGAAACTTATTCGTTCTTCAATGGGGAGAATGTGCGCTTTTTTGTAGTATTCGAGAAGATCTACATCACGGTCATCGATGTTATAGATGAATCGTATTCCAGCATTCAGTACAGATTTGAGCTTTTTCAGTGACTTCATCGGTAGGCAAACATACAGTGCATTACAGTAGTCAAGTTTTGATATAACCAGTTGCTTCACTAGCATAACTTTTAAACTTTCATCAAGATAACATCGTATTCTCTTCAGATTAGTTAATGCCCACATTGACTTCTGTTTAACACTGTTTAGCTGTCTTTCCATGGTAAGAGCTGGGTCTAGTTTGACTCCTAAACTCTTCCAATTGTCACCGACACATTCTGTTGGGATCACTTCCGTACTCCCAAAATTAACAGAAATTTGATTCTGTCCAAATTCTCTAAGAACCAAAGGCTTCCCAATGACTAGTAGCTCTGTTTTTGACTCATTAAGTTTCATATAATTTTCAAGCATCCAGGCCCTTATTTCGTCAAGGCAGGCATTGATCTTAATTTTCATTTCACTTAGTTCTCCAGGTATTAGGGGTTCAAAAGAAATGTAGAGCTGCGAGTCATCTGCATATAGCTGAATACGAATCCCATATTTAGCAGCTATCTTCTGAAGTTGTTTAATGTACAGGATGAACAAAATCGGTCCAAGCAAAGATCCCTGAGGCACTCCAAAAAGAAGACACATTACATCAGATAGCTCCTGACCAACTTTGACATTGAAAGATCTTGCATGAAGATAATCCTCAAACCAGCTGTTAGCTTTACCTGTGATTCCAAAGTCAGCTAAGAGTTTTCTGATAAGTATATTATGATCTATTGTGTCGAAAGCTGCTGAAAGGTCTAGCAGGACCAGTGTCACAATTCTACCCTGCTCGATTTCCCCAAGAATGTCATCAGTCATTTTCACTAATAAAGTCTCACAGCTATGTTTTGGTCTATAACCAGACTGAACTGGACAATGAAGATCTTCTGCATCCAAGTATTCATTGAGTTGACTGAGTATGTACTTTTCAAGGATCTTGGACATAACCGGGAGATTTGAAACTGGTCTATAGTTTTTTAGACAGTCAGGATCTGCTCCATCCTTTTTGAGGGTGGGTCTGACCACTGCTCTCTTAAGATCCGATGGAAACTTAGCAGTTTCAATGGAAAGGTTGACGATGTAGCAGAGAAATGGTGCTAGTTCTTTAATGCAGTGTTTCAGGAGAAACATGGGTATTGGATCTAAGTCACAGAACTTATTTGACATGCTTTTCACCAGGGTTTCCATCTCGGACACTTCTACTGCTTTAAAAGTCTCTAACTTTGACTCCCTTTTATCACCTCTTGGGTTTTCCTGGGGTTCGGCCGGTGAATCACGAAGGTTTTCAATAGAGGACCAGATGTTTTCCACTTTTCCAGAAAAGAAAGCTTTTAGATCATCTGCAACTTCCTTAGGATTTCCAGATGGCATACTTGTCTGAGAATTACCCAACAAGCGATTGACTTTCTTGTAAAGGGATTTAATATCACCTGATGAAGCTGTGATAGAATTTCTATAGTATCCCTTTCTTTTTTCAAACTCCATACCCTGAAATTTATCCCGAAGTCCTACGTACGCTGATTTAAGTCCTTTTCCAGACCTCCAAGCTCTCTCTGCTCTTCTTCTCATTCTTCTCACTTCTCTCAGCTCTTCATCAATCCAGGGCGTTTCATTAGCTTTCACTTTCCTGTCCACTTCTGGGCAATGGGTGTCCATAAGGCATAAAGAACCTCATTGTACTGTGTAACGGCCTCGTCTAGTGACCAGTCAAAATTTCCTTGGCACAGAGATGAGTTCTTCAAACTTTCTCTAAAATTGTCTTTGTCAAGATTTTTAAAATTTCGGTAGTTAACCTTTTTCCAAGTCATCTTGGGTTTCTTACAGCAGTGATACCCTAAATCAAAATTAACCAGAAAGTGGTCGGAGGATGTTCCTGATTTGGTCACAGAAACTGGGCCCATTCTAGACCTAAGGTTTTCTGTAGAGAGTATAAGGTCAATTGTACCACCTTGTTCATGCGTTGGTACAATAGGCATGATTTGATAAAGGTCATAGTCTTGTAGAAGTCTTACCAACATTCACATGGACGCTCCATGTGAATGTTGAAATCTCCCATCAGAAGAAGGATACCAGTCTTGGTACTTAAGTCATCTAGGCAGCTCTCGAACTCCTCTAGAAACATACATTCCGTGTATCTAGCTTTCTTTGTATAAGGAGGCCTGTATATATTCACAAGACGAATCGAATCTGTCTCAGTCTCAGATTGGAGCAATGCTTCCATAACCTGGAACGTTTTGTACTTAGTTACCTTTTCGTTAACTTTTAAGGTTATTTCTGGTCTGTAAAGGAAAGCAATACCTCCTCCACCTCTGTGTTTTCTAGGATTTGATAGTATCTCCCAGCCATAACTCTTGATCTCTTGAATTTTTACACTATCTGCCTCCTTAAGAAACGTTTCCTGGACAAAGCAAACATCACATTTATGATCATTGAGGTGCTCCATCACTCCCACTGTCTTATTTACAAGCGATCTGACATTAAAGGTCCCAACCCTTAGGCTCTTGTTCTCTTTGTCATGAGCTCCTTTACCCTGATTTGGTAGGAGTTTTTTGCATCACTTGATGAGTGAGTCCTGGACATGACCCACAGTTTTTCTCTCACATAAAACGGACAAAGAGTGTCTGACGCCAATTGTGTCTTGGATCTGACTTTTCTGATCGATTCTTGCTATGTGAACAGTTCGTGCATCGTATGTCCCCTGTCTTTTTCTCTTTCTTCTTAATACAGTCCTTCGATTTGTGGCTTCATGCAGAGTAGAAACATGTTGGGTCTGAGTCTTTGGACTTGCATATATGGATCCACTTGTATGACCAAAACCTTGACAGTGATAACACTGTATAACGTGATACCTGTCTCTGACAGGGTACATTTCCAATCCCAGACAGATCCTGTTTCCAGCCTTTTTGATAACTTCCCTTATAGCCGGTGAAACCTGCAAAACGGCAAACCTATCTTTGTCATCCATAAAGACAGCCTTGAACTCATCACCACTTTCCATCAGGGTCTTGATAGTGTCA